ATGACTGTGACGTTAACGTGTAAGCTCGATAATGAACTCCAGCTCAACCAACCATATTGTAATATCTAAGTAATCATCTTGAAATATGACATTATTTGTAATATACACACATGTTATTGTGAGGTTGATTTCACATACACTACTTCGACGTTAGCTTGTCTAGCGATGCATACAGTTCTACCTACATAATAAAATATATCTCTAAGTTACAAGGATGACCTTATTTTATCAACCTCAAACAGAAGCCGTTTGTTCTACAGTATTATCCCACTTAACGCTTGTCTATTTCGTTTTAACCTTTATATATATATAGTCTATGATTTTAACTTGGAGGCTGCTATTAATATCGTTGGCACCGATGTAGCTACCACTCGCTTACACGCTAACCCAAGACTTAAAGTTGGGGTAGGTAAGTTTGAGAAACCGGCTCAAGATACACTTTTTGTTATATTCCATGGAATGCTCTTAACATCCCGATAGCAATGAATATCTGAAGTGCTTTGACAAAAAATCCATAAAAAAATGTCATCTGTGGAAGCCGTGGTACTGTAAAAAGCACGACCAATCATTTTAGCCGGCCCGGCTAAAATAACTGGATGGCCTACCTGCCTGTCAGCCTTCCATCTGTGCACAAACTTATCTCGTGCCCTTATTGGTCATGTGCGCGTTCGTGTGTGTTGGAGGAGGGGCTCTGTAAGGAAGTGGCAGATTGTTACCGGTTGTGTATTTTCAAATTCTTGCGCACTCGAGCCGGTTTCTCCAAAATTACCTATCCCACCTTTAACATTCATTACGTAGCTGATTACAATCATTAACACATAAATAAAGTACTCGAATTTCACTTACCGCAAAACCGCATTCATGCACCGTCTGTTTTAACCGCAGAGCGAATCACAATAGTCCGATATATAAGCATGAATAACAAACAACCACGGCCGGCTTCAAGTTGTGTTTCCTGGATGAGCTGAGCAGGCAGAGTCCCTGTAGCTAGCTTCACGGAGCAGCTAGCAGAGAGACAAGAAGCTAGCAGCAGCAGTCACTTCACAGAGCCGTCACTCAATGTGACCACGCCCTAATTTATGCAAAAACTTTAAAACCTAATATAAATAAAAGGGTCGTGTTAGAAAACAATTCACTCACAGATCCATAATCATGAAGGTGGAATCTAACTATATTGATAATAAAATGTATGGAGCCAGGGGTAGAAACATGTTTTTTTCTGCTGTAAAATTGGGCATTTTAACATGGGGGTCTATGGAAATTGCTCCTTTCTGCAGCCATCGCCTATCGGCCAATATATGAACTGCAGTGTGTGGCACTTCCGTATTGGCGTCCCGGCTCAACCCCACAGTTTGCCGCTTGATACAAACACACCAATGTAAGAGAGGGAAGGGATTCATTTGAGGTTGATTTATTTGGGCTCATGGTTCTCTATATAATTGAAACTAAAGCGCAGTGAGTTGACAGCGAGATGTAGACATAAAGAGTGAGCATGTACGCTCTGGCAGCTTTGCTGTTTCTATAGCAACAGCTGGAAAATAAACTGCTGTGGTTGTTGGCGGCGGCTCTCTGAAAGGTGTGTGTGTGTGTGTGTGTGTGTGTGTGTGTGTGTGTGTGTGTGTGTGTGTGTGTGTGTGTGTGTGTGTGTGTGTGTGTGTGTGTGGTGTGTGTGTGTGTGTGTGTGTGTGTGTGTGTGTGTGTGGTGTGTTGTGTGTGTGTGTGTGATGTGTGTGTGTGTGTGTGTGTGTGTGTGTGTGTGTGTGTGTGTGTGGTGTGTGTGTGTGTGTGTGTGTGTGTGTGTGTGTGGTGTGTGTGTGTGTGTGTGTGTGCCACTCTCTTCTGGTTTATCATTCAACTTCGTGTGAATTAGTTTCACTATTCCTATACCGTCGCTCTTTCTTTTCTCCTCCTGCAACCCTGTCAGGATTGTGGCAGAAGACGGTCCAATAAGCTTTGTATAAGTATAGTATGTTCTTACGCTGTGATCAGAACTACAACTGTATTTTTGTCTTTTAAAATGGTCACTGGATCAGATTAAGTAATCCTAGAAGGTCATAGATTATTGTTGTGACAGACGAGCATCCAGAGGCACACCCACATGGGCCGTGTCTCATTTCAAAGATTCCCCCTCCTCGACTCCTCGGTCCTCCGGTAGTGACCCGGAAATGAATTTCAGCGCGCCATGTTGAAGGACATCTCATTTCTCTAAATGCACATCGAGGACCGAGCATTGTCATCATTAATGGACGTCTCTTTAAAATGACCGCTCAGAGGAGAGGAGTTCTCATTTCTCTAACCGCCTGCTGCTTCCCCTCCTCTCTCCTCGGCTCCCCTCCTCGACTCCTCCGCTCGCATCTCCTGTGGGCGGGACTAAGTCTCGAGGATAGGAGTCGAGGAGGGGAATCTCAGAAACGAGACACGGCCATGGTCTACTTGTTGCAGGGGCTGCTGGGTAACAAAAAGCTCAACCAAAATTAGGCAAAGTGAACCTACACACTGCTGTCTTGTTCTCAGTTGTTCAAGTAAATGTTCAGCAATTCTAAATGAAAACCCACCAGTCCTTGTAAAGGTGAACCATTTGAAGACACAGTAGCAGTTTGTTTGCATGTGGTAGAGCTGAATATAAAGGAATGGTGGAGAGATAATATTGGAGGTAATGAGAGCCAGAGATTTAGTGAGCAGATCAAAGGAACGCTCTGAAAAATAGCAGATGGAGATTTGTCAGCACAGTAACATCACTGTGCAGTCACACCAACAGATTTATGAGCAGCCAGCAGTCGTTCATTTCAATGAGAGTTGGTGACTTGTGGCAGCTGTTGCAGTGGAAGCTTTGCTGTGATTTCTTTGTTAATTCATTATAAAGGGGTACTCCACAGACATTGACGTTTTTTTAAAGGTTCCTTTAGGTGTTTGGGACTTCTACTGCATTCATGGTTAAAGTAATGCTGAAATTGTCGCTGAGCGCTGCACTCGACTTTGACTTTAAATGATTTCAACTTTGACCTAGATTACAGTTTACCTTTTGGCGGGCAACCAAGGAGGTGTCCGCTGTATGAAGCTGCACAGGCTACCATGGGAGGGAACCATAGAAACAAAACTAACGAGCTGTTTTTATCAAGAGGCCCTGTGCCCAACCTTGTGGTGACCAAAGAGCAAAACTCTTATCACATAAAGGCAGCGTTCGTGTTCAGGGGCAGTGTGTGAAAACTGATGTCATGTCACTTGAATAAGGGTCGTTTAGGGCTGCAGACCAAAGTACAATAATGTAATCAATCTGAGGTCGTGGAGTTGGAAAGAAGTGGGCAAAATGAAACACAAAAACCATGCGTTATTCCTCACCGTAAGACCTCAGTACCTCGGAAAATATTCGGTTAACGCAACCTCTGTTCCCACCACACATTCAATGGGATGTGTGGTGGGAACAGAGGTTGCGTTAACCGAATATTTTCCGTCTATGACGGATTTTATTTTAACAATGACGGAAAAATCTGAAAGCAGTCCGTCATTTTGACGGATTCGAATAAACTCGGAACAGCGCCAAAGTTTCCCCGCAGCGAGGCTCCGGTGTTAAGCATGCCTGCCAAAAAGGAAATGATACCGTTTCCAAACCCAAGCAGCAGAAGAATGCTACAGAGAGGGATGGGAGGGAAAGAGTGTCCGGCTATAAATTGATCTAGTCATTGGTCTTGCTCTCACAAGCAAACGTGTGTGTAAGAAAAGTGCAGTGGTGCGAGGTGGTGTTGAAACCTGCACACATGGAACCAAACCCCACATTACCCCTAGCCGCTGCACCAGATTACAGGTGAAATATTGAGTCATTGTCTTGTGTTCCAGTGGTTTTCAAACTGTGGGTCAAGACCATAGACTGTATATATAAAGGTCAGGACCCAACACCCGGTGTCTATAACACTGGTCATAGCAGGATAAAAATAAGTCCCCAGATTGTTCTGCAGAAACAGATGATGGCTTTTAACTGGAAAATCACAATTCCGCATGTAAGCCTCCGCACACTTTGGATTATGTGGTATACTACCATTTTGGGTTGAGTGTTATATTCTGTGTGTGGAGAAATGTGACTCTAGAAACCAGACAATAGAATGGTGCAGTGATGACGTTTTATTCTGAGCTGACATGGAAGTAAGCAAGGGCTCCCTCAACGAAAAGCCATGGGTTGTTTTTTTTGGATTTTGGATTATAGCAACAAAAAAAAGAAGCTCTGTGGCAAAAACATGTGCATGAAATGTACACGTTTGTTCGGCAGCTTTATTCTCCACGTTTTGACACCACATTTAAGTGTTTAATGCGTAAATGCAATCGGCAATAAAAAGCTAACCTTGGGCTATCACACTCGCATTGCTGCTTATCACCACCGCTAAGATAAAGTAGGCTAATGATGTTATGGCATGATAAAGTTTAGTCGTCTCAATTAGTCAATAGTTAGCAACTGACATTTTTAAGACGCATAAAAGCTGTAGACGTTAACTATTAAAAGCTGTAGATGTTAACTGTTGGGGTATTTACTGATGTATTTTATGTCGTAGAACAAAACATCACAAATATATTCACATTGTGTTTACTCCAGACCTTATTTCAGGCATCTAACCTAAAACACATTCAAAACACAGTTGACTTTGAGACGATGGAATCGGAAATTGTAAAATGCTAACGCACTTCCGGCAATACGGACAAACTGAAGCCTTTAAGATGTACTTAAATGCTTATCCTACCGTGTGAAGATAAACCACCAATAAAACTTCTACTTTTAGTAAAAACAGACCTCTTATTCAAATCATCTCTTGGAAATGGAATGTCTCATCAAAGTGAGAACACTTTCCATTCAGGCAGGAATTTCAATGTGTTCAATGTGTTCAACATGTTGAGAACATTTCAGCAGTTCAGCAGTGCCTAGGTTTGCAACTATGCAAGATGTATTAGTGAATGGGTTACGGGGGTTATTTAACATGTAACAGAAATAATATGTTTGTTCTCTCTCCCTGCAGGCTTTTCTTTGGGACTCTGTATCCTGCGTACTACTCTTACAAAGCTGTCAAGACAAAAAATGTCAAGGAATATGTAAGTAAATACAAATCACTGAGTGTGGATGGCCTGCTTGATGTTTGCATGTTTCTACAACGCACACTCACATAGACTTAACCACTAAGCCCAACCTAAGATCAAATAGTATTTTTTAACAAAATGCCTCGATACAAATATTGCAAAGATATTGCAGGGTTGACCATTGGACATTTTCCTGTCTTTGATGTGGTAGATGACCCATCTCCTGTAATGAGTCTCTTGTAGCCAGTAAGAGTCATGTGTTCATGTCCTGTGGTATAATGTATCTAATAATCTAAACAATCAAGTTGTTGGCTTCAAGTGAATAATTGACATCCCCTCCATCACATGGTATAAATACTACCCAAGATACAGTTGGAGTTCATTCCAACCATTTAACTTTTGTTTTGTTTTAGTTTCGATTAGACAAAAAACTAATGGTTCAGATAAGGGCACCCAGTTAAGATTTAATAAATGCAAATAAGTCAAAAACTGACAGGAAACTTCTTTAACTTATCCAAACCCACTCTCTAGTTTACTTATGAGACTGATTAAAAGAAATCTCTTTGAAGGATTTCATAATTGAATTGTTATCATAATACATTTCTAGGGGAAAACAAAACTGTTGATAGTTATGTAAATACCATTTAAAAAGATTCAATATAGATTTGGCTATTGTCTGATATAAAGCAATATGTTGATGTCAGTCACTTTGTAAAAGAAAGAGTTCTGTCCTTTTACAAAAATAAATATGTGAAAATGTAAATCAGATTATATTTATGAATTGATTATATGTTAAAATGTTTGTTTTTGACAGAAATGATCTCATAACTGTACCTTCTCCTTTTACATTTGATGGAAATATTGGAATTCTTAACTGAAATCTCTTGATTTGTATGATTGTCATTTTGTTGTAGAGATTCTTCTCTGTGTAAGGGTCACCTGATGACAGCATTCAGGTTAAGAAACCACGTACATGTGTTGTGTATAAGTCGTTTTTCCCAAAAACATTGAGTGTTGTGTCACAGCACCAATTCCATTTTAACTCAGCGGTTGATGGGCTCCCATACATGAATATGGATGTGAGGGCTGGGAGGGGTCTTCTCCGTGGACTCGGCTGATGTAAGTGATGTCAGTGAGAATGAAATCCCAGGCTGAGTTATAATACATCCTCACACAGCTTTAACACACCAGCTCCCACAGCCAGACGCACGCAGCAAGCTTTTTGCAGCCTTTTCCTCTTTGTCTTTCTAATATAATATGGCTGAATTCAATATTGGAATATTGATATAACGTTTTATTTTTTATTTGTTATGTTAATTCAGTTGCCAGGGTATTAAGACCATCTAGCCAGACATTTTAACTATGATATAAATGTGGCGAACTGAGATTATGTTCTGTCACTGCATTGATGCATTATCGTCCACGTCTGCATTGGGATGCATCTTAGAAACGATTATTTCAACACCCCTCAAAGCAATAGATTACTGCAGCGATGGCACGTTTTTGTATGTGGACCCAGAAGTTAGCATCGCAAGGGCTCCCTCAACTAAAAGCAATTGGATTTCGGAATAATCCAGAAAATATTAAAATAGGAGTACTTTGTAAGCTTTTAAAAACTTTTGAAAATCCAACCAAAAACTCATTAAAAAAACAAAACATCGACATTGAGACCCAACTAGCCAAGAAGTGCTAAAATGCTGACTCATTTCCAGGTGTAGGACTCATTCCTCTCAGCTGTACCCTCTACACCAGTGCTTCTCAAAGTGTGGTCCGCGGACCACTGGTGGTCCGTGAGCGCCCCCTAGTGGTCCGCGAGTATATTGGTAACATTTCACATTTGAAATAAATAAATACATTTGAGTTTTCCGCACTCTCGCGGGAATATCTCCGCAATGGAGCGAGGTTAAGTTTCACTTTCGATGGTATGATATAGCCCAGCGCAACACCTTCATCACACCTGCTGCCACTTGTTTGTACCATTTTCAGGCGATTTGTAATCTGTTCTAGAAAAACGATGCGATTTTGGATATTTGTGGAGTTAGGTGGTCCGCGAGTGTTATTTTATTGGTTAAGTGGTCCTTGGTGTGAAAAAGTTTGAGAAACACTGCTCTACACGTTGTACCCCCTTCAGTAATGTCAAGAGGAGTGACTGAAGGCTAGATCTCCCCACAGGATGAGCTAGGAGCAGCATCCACCACATTAGTCTCCAGCCTTCACCATTATCTAACCAAAACAAATGCATGACATTGAATTAAGCTTTTAATAAAACACACCCTCCAGCCCATTTGTTAATTCTTTACTGCCTATTTCTGTGTGCCTATATGCATGCTGACAGTCATGTTTCCCGGTCAGTATCGTGTTAAACCCTCTCAACCTCTATTAAAAGTGAAAAATGACTGGTGGCACGGTATGGAGGACTAGACACGCTCTCCATGCCATAAAAAAAAAAAAAGAAATGAGATAAATCCTTCTAACTAAGGAACTTTGTAGGCGACTGGAACAGCTAGCGACGCTGAATGAAATATTCAAAAAACTCGACAGCAGACTAGAAGAAGCTGCATCTAGGATAAGCAATACAGAGGACCGCAATGACTCACTGCTTTCTTACATTTTGTAAAGTAATCAGTATCTACAAGTGCCAAGATTTGGAATATGGAGATAGATGTAACATCTGAGAATGTATTTGTGGTTTTAAAAGTAAAAACCAGTAAGAGAAACAATCTCTTCTTCCTCCTTCCATATATTGATTCCACATTCCTCCACTCCACTATTTCTGTTACATTAACAGTACCTGACAGCCTTTAGCTGTCCTGCATCCTTCACTGCATCTCTGCTGCCCCTCTGTTGACTGGGGAATGATAAAGTGTTGAATGAGGGCAGTTAAAGCCTTTGACCCCAGGCTACAGTGTGCCGCTCCACTCTGTGTCAGACAAATGGGCTTCTTTGTTGAGCAATCTGGATGCCAGACTGACATGAATAGACTTGTCTGGAGGTCTGTTTTCTCACTGCTTACATCTCATAAAGTGAGGACTGACTGCAGATACAGTATACTTCTTTATTTGTGTTTAGACAAGCCCACTTTCCCAAGGACATTCTGCTTATAGACTTCCTTGGATAAAGTGTCAGCTTTAATGGCAACATTACTGAATCAAAACAATAGGTACAATAATATGACATATTTACTGTAATTTTTTACTTTATATAAAAACCTATAAGTAAAACCAAACTTAAATTACCTTTTCCACAAATGATACATACTCATAGACACTGAAGTGCTGTGCAAGTTCATTCATGTCCTATTAGAGTAGTTAGCCTGTCGGTACTAAATCAGTTCTGATGAAACTTGTAACTTCAGTAAAGATGCAATAGAAGAAATTGAAGAAGATTAACTGACAATTGTTGACCGAATGTTTGGATGCTGAGGCAATTAACACAAAATCGCACATTTAAGTTAAATTCTCATATTTTTGTCAAATCTCAAATGAAACCTGGTACTCATAAAAAGCAGAGTCTCAAATAATTGGCCAGTATAAGCAATACTGCTTATTGTCTCCCCTAACACCAGTGTTGGGACTAACGTGTTACTGTAACGCAACTACCTTTTGCGGTAACTAATAACGTTACGAGTTACCTATTCCCATTCAGTAACGCCGTTATAGTTACTGTGATTTAAAGGCATAGCCGCGGGAAGTAGGGGTGCTGGGGGTGCTGCAGCACCCCCTGTTGGCGAGTGGTGTACATTTGAAAAACTGAGTGACCACCTAAATAAAAATTATTAAACTACATAAAATAGTTATGATTTTACTTAAAATAAAATTAGCTGTATACAGTAGCATATAATAGTCATAGTATATATTTGTATATATCAGGTGGCTTGAATTTATTTTCCAAATAAGTAAAATCCGAGTCATCTAGGTCGTAGGTCTTGGGAGAGTGACGTAATTGATGCAACACACACACTGCAGTGACAACTTTCTAGAATGGCGCAAAAAAGGATTTTGGATTTTTTTCTCCAACAAACAACCCAATAAAAAGAGTGGAGTGGACCACCAGCTACTCCTCAGCCCACCACCTCTACAACTAGAGTAATATATATAAATTATCCATTATCTCATTACATTTGCGCATATTTTAACACATTTCAGGAACCGAAATCTGAACTTTGGATAAAGCCAGGTTCAAAATTCTCGTTTCATTTTGTAGTCATATTAGCATCTAAGGCTTTCACCGAAGGGATTTTGGATATCTCTCTTTATCACTCCATAAATCAGAAAATATTGTCAACAGCCCTAAAATATCAATTTTTGCCATGTTTCTAGGTATACAATCTTATATAATTCAGGCTATGAATGATATATGAACAAACTCTTCTGTAAAAGCCTTCATAATATTGATAGGAATATAACTGGAAGGTTTGGTGTATGTAAGTGCAACTGAAGTGGAAATTTCGGACTCAGAGTAGGAGAAAAAACTCATTTTGAGAAAACGACCTTTAAAGATTGCAGTGAGGCGCTAGCTAAACCCTCTGTTCTTTGGATGACAGCTTGCGCATCGACGCACTCCGTGAAGGTATTTCATGTTCGGGGTCATTTGTGTTTTGTATAACCTTGCTTCGTGCAAGTGACAATTGTTGTTGTCTTCTCTGTGAACGTTTTTTTCGCCGTTCTTTTGCCATTTTGAGATTTACATTTCTAGCGGAAAGCTAACCAGGAAGTGTTTTAGAACACCACGTGATGCATCTGAACGAATCACGTTGTCAGAAATTGACACCAGCCAATGAGATTTCGTTTCTTGGTTTAAGACCCTTTTGTGCTTTCACGATTGGTTGCTGATACAAAGGAAATGACCATATTTGGATCCGATGAGATCATTGTGCAGGAGAGACGGAGCTTTTCCAACGATGACATGGTGCAAACAGCGATCGAGGTACTTTGTTACGTTAGAAATGCTAACTTTTGGTGAATTTAGGAGAAATATACAGATGCAAATAGACCAACTATAGTAAAATGAACACT